TGTTTTTAGTGTAATATAGTAGTAGGCCTATACAGAATCTGTCTCTTATACACATCTAGATGTGTATAAGAGACAGCCGTAATAGTGTCTATGTTTCAGGTGTTTCTAAAATAAGTATTCACTGTTGCGCGCAATAACATTACTGGCATTATGTTTAATGTGTAGACCATCAGTTTTAGCCCCAAAAGGAATGGGGTTTGACAAAACAAACCACACCATTGTACCTGGCGTTCAGACCACTCGATTATCAGGTGGAATTCACATGTTATTTGGGGGTGGGGTATCTTGTGTGGCACTTGCTTTGAAACCATATTCGTTATTTCAACATTAAATAAGTAAATAAATTTTCTGTATTTACTCAAATGATCGTTTTTGATCGTCACTAACACTTAATAATTTCTTCCTTGTAACTTGATTAAACTTGTTTAAGTTTCATTCAGATCAACTGACCGGTTTTTGTGTCTACTGCCCCCAACGGGGGCGTAGACACTATGTCATGATGTAGCAATTAAAGATGGCGAAAACGGGTAAATCCGGTTTAGGCATGATGGGTACTACTACCACGAGGTAGGGGGCGCTCTATTGACAATAGAATAACTTTCGGAACTCGAAAAAACTCGAACACGTGTTATAGAGACGCAGCACGGTTCGACACGAACGCCTTTTACCGTCATTTGAAGGACGCCCTCTAGAACATGGTAGCATTCTTCAAAATGAGTAACTCCAAGAGCTACTCATTTTGTGTTCTTAGTGTAATATAGTAGTAGGCCTATACAGAATATTGTTATGAAAGAAAATTTTCATGAAAAATCTAGATACACTACAATAATACACACATCTGCCTATTGAAGAACATAAGATAAAATTAAAAATATAAAAACTCTTGTATAAGGCAGTATACACACGCTCCCGCTGGGAGCCTATTTTTGAAATATCCGGTGTAGACTGTTTGACCTTAAATCACTTTTATTGGTCCTCACAAGCACACCCTACCATAGATTGACACTAAATATTAGGAGGTACATCCTTGATATGGCCTATGCTTCGGCAAAGCACGGAAAAATTCTAAGCATGGGAAGTGACCAAAATGACGTCCAGAAAAAACAGTGCAAAAAGATAGGAAAAATACTTGCAAGAATAAAGGGAAACAATTCTGAACAAAAATAATGGCTTTTCCCAGCACTGCTGGGAAAAGCCAAAATAAATAAATAAATTAATTAATTAATTAAATTAAATAAAAAAAATAAAAAAATAAAATAATAATAATAATAATAATAATAATAATAATAATAATAATAATAATAATAATAATAATAATAATAATAATAATAATAATAATTATTATTGTTTCTGTAGGTGTGGCTGTCTTTATCCTTATTAACGTTATCGGTGATACCGCTAAGTTAGGCTCCATCGAGAAACTTGAAATGATTTCGCCGGCCGGACAAATCATCAAAACAATGACCCTCCAAACAAATAAAGAAATGGGCAAGTTGTATGCTAAGACGATTCTACCACCAGAGCCATTTCAACTTAGAGTGACTGGATCTGACGTTATCAAAAATCAATTTTCTCGCATATTTCGTCAAGTTGTCAGGACATCAACATGTTCAATAAGCACGGACCGCAGTGATGTTCAGCAAATACTGTCAGCGGGATCCATCGGGCATATTCCATTCAAAGCTCTTAATAGTGGCGCACCTGGAACGTACATTGTTTCTGCTATTGACAGCACTGACTTCGTACGAGACCTCAAACCAAACAGGTACTCATTTATTTGATTTTTTACATTCAGCATATAAAGTATAATTATTTTGCCATTAAGTTGTATTTTATCTACAATATTAGAATTGTTTTATGTTTATGGATGATAAACACTAATACATATATTTAAGCTAGTGTTGTTACATTTCACTAAAAATGCCAAATTTTACTATTGCACAATTCCATAGTCCAATATAATAATAATAATAATAATATATAATAATAATAATAATAATATATTATAATAATAATAATAATTATTATTATTATTATTATATAATTATTGTTATTAGATTCGTCCTAGGAAGAAATGAATCGATAGAAGGAAAGGTATCGTTTGCTGTACCAAAAAATGTAAGATACGGCACTTCAAGTACCATTACTCTAGTTATAACAAGAGACCATTCAGCGCATGAGTTCAACTACTTTGTTTTCGATATCATCATTCAATCACAGGTAAATGTCAAAGGATTCCTTTTTTATAATTCAATCAAAATAAGATTTATTGAAATAATGGAATAGCAAAATGTATACACACAGTTTATATATATATATATATATA